GATATTGAATTAGAGGATTAGAAAGGATTAAAAAACATACCTTATAATGATGGAAACAAAAACCTCAATGTATTTAGCTTAACAAAGAGAAGGTTAAGGAGTGATTTGATCATAATTTATGAAGTACCTGCAAGGGGAAAAAATATTTGAGAATGAGCTCTTTAGCTTTGCAAAGAAAAGTATGACACAAGACAATGGCTGGAACTTGAAGCTAGACAAATTCAGACTGGAAATAAGCCATACATTTTTAACAGTGAGAGTAAGTAACCATTGGAGCAATTTACCAGGAGCTGTAATGGATTCTCCATCATTGGCAATTTTAAAATCAAGATTGGATGCTTTTCTAAAAGATCTGCTCTAGGAATTATTTTGGGAAAGGTCTCTGGTCTATGTTCTAAAGTGAAGCATTATTAGTATGTACTGGACTTGCAAATCTTCCATTATTTGTGTTTCTGCTGCAAGGGCAGAGCTGCTGAATTTACAGGCATGGCTTAGGACAGTGTTTCTCAACCTTTCCAGACTACGGTACCACTTTCAGGAGTCTGATTTGTCTTGCAGACCCTAAGTTTCACCTCACTTATAAACTACTTGCATACCAAATCAGACATAAAAATACAAAAGCACACTATTACTGAAAAACTGTTTACTGTCTCATTTTTACCATATAATTATAAATTGATTCGAATATAAATATTGTTCTTACATTTCAGCGTAGAGTATATAGAGCAGTATAAACAAGTTGTATGCAATTTTAGTCTGTACTGACTGCTAGTGCTTTTTATGAAACCTTTTGTAAAACTAGGCAAATATCTAGATGAGTTGATGTACTCCCTGGAAGACCTTTGCAGACTGTACCCCAGATTGAAACCACTGGTTTAGGAGACCAGTTTGGGTGGTAAAATTAGATAGTCCATTAGCTGTTATTGGAGGAAGAGATCTGTTACCTTCCCCATCAATCAGAGATGTCAGTGGAGTGGAGAATTGTAAGTCCAGTGTTCATTCCTCATTTGGAGGTAGGTAATTTGGAGATGCAGTAAGACAATGATCTCCTAGTATGGTTGCTGGAGAGAGATTGTCTCAATTAACTAACCCTGTGTTTGTGAAGCCTTTGGGGGATCTTCAGAAAGCAGACAGTGGCTTTGGATGAGAGCAAGTAAGAAAGTTCTCAGGAAAGGCAGACAATGAAGGACAACCAGGAAGAAGCCACAGCTGGCCAGTGAGAAAGCTGGGTTTCAAAAGGGAAGCTGCAGGAGTGGGCTAAGACAGTGAGTTTGTGTGGCTGGCTGGAACATCAGCTTCAGAAGATACAACATCTATGCCTCCCTCCCTCCCCTCTAGACACAACCTATGTAAAGAGTCTAGGTCAGAACAACGCAAATGAGACACTTTGCATCTTAAGCAAAGATCTCACAGAAGCCTTTTGGAATGTTCTGTTCCAGGAGAGTTTGGGTGATTTATGAGTTGACTGAATTACAACATTGAGATAAAATGCAAGTGGACATGTGTGGCTAAAGGAGCCAGACTCCACCAATAATGGCACAGCTGTGAGCTACTTTGTGTTGTATGGCTGATGCACTGTAGGAACCAGTATCATTTGCAGTCCCAGGGATTCCCGGTGCGGCTGAAACTGCTCAAAATCTGTGAGGATGGACTCACATAGCTGCCCCTAGTGTCTAGGCTGCTGTTTATCTAGGTGCTCTCTGCAATGCTTCTCGCAGTCTCCAGCTCCTAGAGTTCCTGCAGCACCTGGACTACAAGCAATAAAGAGAGGAGAACAGAGGAGGATTTCCAGGCTTCTATGACATTTTATCAGAGTGTAGGGCTCCCTACAGCCACAGTCCCTTCCTGCTGCCTTTGCTCCTTCTTTTCTGTATCCAGAAACAAGTGTGAGTTGAGGATGGAGGTTCTGGGTATGGGAGTGGAAGTTAGAGTTGTGGAGAAAAGGGGATTGTGAGCCTGGCGGTCAGGGCCAGATTAACGCAGGGGCTTTAGGGGCTGGATTATAAACTGGCTAACTAACAGGTCTCAAAATGTAATTTGTAAATGGGGAATCATCACAGAGCAAGTGTGTTCCTAGGGGGGTCCAGTAGGGAATTGGTTCTTGGCCTCAAGCTAGATAACATTTTTATCAATGATCTGGAAGAAAACATAAAATCATCACAAATAAAGTTTGGAGATGACACAAAAATTGCGGGAATGGTGAATAATGAAGAGGAGAGTTCAGAGATAGAGAGTAATCTTGATCAGTAGGTAAGATGGGTTGAAGCAAACAATATTCATTTTAATACAGCTAAATGTAAATATGTAGGAACAAGGAGTGTAGGCCAAACCTAGAGGATGCAGGATTCTGCCCTTGGAGACAGTGACTATGAAAAAGATTGGGGGGCATGGTGGACAATCAGCTGAACCTGAGCTCCCACTGGGATGCTGTGAACAAAAGGGCTACATACATATGTAAAAAGATGGATTCATAAAAAGAAACTCAAGTAGAACTAGAGAGGTCATTTAATTTTTGTATTAGGTACTGGTGTGACTGCAGCTGGAATGCTGTATCCAGTCTTGGTGTCCATAATTCAAGAAGGATATTGAATTAGAGGATTAGACAGGATTAGAAGACGTGCCTTATAGTGATGGACTCAAAAGAGCTAAATCTATTTTGCTTAACAAGGAGAAGGTTAAGGAGTGATTTGATTACAATTTAGAAGTAGCTTCAAGGGCAACAATATTTGATAATGGGCTCTTTAGTCTAGCAAAGAAAAGTATGACACAATCCAATGGCTGGAAGTTGAAGCTAGACAGGTTCAGACTGGAAATAAGGCATAATTTTTAATGGTGAGAGTAGTTAGCTGTTGGAACAATTTACCAAGGATCATTGTGAATTCTCTATCATTGGCAATATTAAAATCAAGATTGGATGCTTTTCTAAAAGATCTGTGCTAGGAATTATTTTGGAGAGGGTCTCTGACCTGTGTTATACAGGAGGTCAGATTAGCTGATCACAGTGGTCCTTTCTGCCTTGGAATCAATGGACCTTATTATAAGCAAGGCCATAAGGAATAAGGAGAGAACACACATCTCTCTCACATAAAAGAGTGAAAAAACTTTGGTAATCAATGAATGAAAAGCACTATATAAAAGCCAAGCATTATTAGTATGTAGTATGCTTGGAAATCTTCCAGTATTTCCATTTTTTCTGCAAGGGCAGAGTTTCTGAATTTACAAGCCTGGTTTAGGAGACAAATCTGGGTGGGAAAATGGGATATTCCATTAGCCACTATTGGAGGAAGAGATCAGTCACCTTCCCCATCAATCAGTGGTGTCAGTGGAGTAGAGAATTGTAGATCCAGTGTTTGCTGCACATTTGGAGGTTGGTAATTTGGAGATGCAGTAAGACTGTGATCTCCTAGTATGGTTTGCTGAGAATGAGACTGTCTTTACAAACTAAGCCTGTGTTTATGAAGTCTTCAGGTGAATCTGCAGGAAGCAGACAGTGGCTTTGGATGGGACCAAGGAAGACAGTTCCCGGGAAAGCAGACAATAAAAAAGTATCAGGAAGAAGCCAACGATGGGTTTCAAAAGAGAAGCTGCAATGCAAATAATCCACAGCATTCAAATGTCTACTTTGAGTTAATTGTCATGTTTTTATAACTGGTAAGACTTGACATCCTGTTTAAACCATTCCAGCTGTTTTCATTACAGACTAAGGGAGAACTGCACTGGAAATATTCTGACTGCATCTCATCACCTGCCTGTGATACTGGGATCGCTTGACTTTTGTATTACTAGGTAACAGGTTACCTCATTAGATGGCTTCTTCACTGTGTGTCAGACTTTGTCCACTTGATGGTGGAGGCCCAGTGGATGGAGTGGCTGACATATTGCAGGAAGCAGTATCACTTGCAGTCACAGGGACTCCTGGTGGGTCTGAATCTGCCCCGAATCATGAGGCTTTAGTTCACTTAGCTGCCTGCCCCTAGAGTCTCCTGGCCCGGTCAGCAAGTGGCAAAGAGAGGTGGCAAAGCTCAAGCAATGTAGTCTGTTTAAGGTCTATTTTACATTAGTGTCTATGGGACTCTGCTGTGCTCCCCACAATCTCCAAGCCTGTGGATTTCCTGCAGCACATGAGCTGCTTGCTGTGAGGAAGGAGAACAGATCAGGGATTCCAGGCTTCTGGGAGGCTTATTCAGAGTATAGGACACATTGAAGTCTCTGCTCCTGCTTCCCTAGGTCCAGCAAGAAGGGGAAGTTGATGCGGGGATATATGAGCTGTGGGGGAAAGGAGATTCTAAGCCTGCTGGTGGCTGTCAGGTTGGAAGGGGAAGAGTTACAACCCCCAGGAAAAGTTATTCCAGGGTTTGCATACATTTGTGTTCTGAGCCCTGGAGCATGCGGAGGGAAAGGGTTTCAGAGTTGAGAGGTGCTGCTGCGAGGGGGGTTGGGAGGGGTTTGGTAGGGAGAAGAGGTGTTCTCAGCCTGAAAGGGACAGGTGTGTACGGTGGGTGTTCCTGAGCTGGGAGCTGGGTGAGAGGGAGCTGCGGAGATCCCAGGAGTCGGATGGCCTAGGTTGGCATGGTTGAGTGTAAGAGAGAATGGAATGAATTGTTGAATTGTTTTGGGGGGAGGATGGCATGATATAGTGGGAGATAATGGGAGGAAATCTGGATTGGAGGTGGAGAGTTTGGGACTAGGAGAGAACCATGTAGGGGCCAGAGAAGGATACATTCAATCTTCTCCCATCCTGTGAAGTGCCCCAGTTCTTTATTCTGTAAACGGGGATGGAGTGGAAGAGGGGATCAAGCAGCACTTTTCCCTCTGATGTCTCCACCACGCTTTTTTATCCCTTTCAAACCACTTTCCTGTGACCTCCCCCGCTCTTACCTCACTGTCCCATTTCCCCCCACTTATAATACGTGCCCAGTACACAGTACCAGACTGTCTGCTTGTAGACATGAAGACACCACAGTCCTGTTTGATTTTTATGGAATTTATGTCAATTACAATTCAGTTACAGTCACTAGGACCAAGTTGTCTGTTGTACATGCACATACTCATGAGAATTTGCGCACCACTCATTTAAATCACTGGGGCATGAAGAGTGGCTGGGCCGTTATTTTTCAATAGGGTTTATGATTTTGCCCATAAAGAGGATGCTTCGGGTGGGTTTATCAAGAATCATCATTAGGAAGGGCCTGTTGAATTTAATGGTAGGAGGAGGAGGAAATACAGCAGAAAATAATGCAATCTCCACCACAGTGACTGCTGCAGCCTCAGTACCATTCTCATGAACATCCACCAGGGCCTTGTGAACAACCTACAAGAAAATGAAGCAAAGATTACAATGTGAGTATAGAACATGGAGCAACATCTGGAGATGAACTTTTAAACCAAATCTCAAGAAAATAGACAATTGAAACAAACTCAGAATAACTACAAGACTGAGTTCAATGGGTGTTTTGTCTATGTATATTTGGAAGGGTTAGGTCCAACTATTTTTTACAGATGGAGCTGAATGAATCTCATCTCTTGTTCTCTGACCTCATGAAGTGGGGCTCCCTTAGCCTCTGTGGAGCACAACAGAAGAGTTATCTCATCCTCACAAACAGAGCTGGGTGAAGAATAGACAAGTTCATGGAGGATAGGTCCACCAATGACTGCTAGACAAAATGGTCAGGGATGCAATCCTATGCTCTGGGCATCCCTAGCGTCTGACTGCCAGAAGCTGGGAGTGGATGACAGGGGATGGATTACTTGATGATTGCCTTTCTGTTCATTCCCTCTGAAGTACCTGGTACTGGCCACTGTTGGAAGACAGGATACTAAAGGGACCATTGGTCTGATCTAGTATGGGTGTGATTATGTTCTTATGTTTTGTTTTTTTGACAAATTCAAAATGTTGAAAGAGTTTAATTTTGGATTGGACTAAAAAGAAATATTCAAACATTTTTGGCAAAATCAAAATGTTGAAAATAATTATTTTTTGTTGAACAAAACATTTTGTTTAGGAAAATCAAAATGTTTCTTTTCTGATTTGGCCATTTTAAAAATGATTCTGAATATTTTGTAAGCTAAAAGTAAAGGAAATTTTGAAACAAAAACTTGTTACAAACAAATCCCCAAACCAAAGGGTTTGGTTTAGAAAAAAAGTTAACAAAATGTTTTTATTTTTATAAGAATTCCCTCCCCCAAAATGAATAGTTTGGCAAAATTAACACAAATTTCCAAAATGTTCCAGTGTTTCCAAATCTATAGTTTTGCCAAAAGTTTCTGTTGAAAATGTTTATCTAGCCCTACTCAAAAATAATGAATAGTATTATGCAGCAGAGAATTAGTTTTCAGAAGAAACCTGAAGACAGTTCAAGATGAATGGTGACTAATGATATAGGAGGCAAAGGAGCCAGGTAATTGACCCCTCTTGTGTGGTTTTGCCTTATATGTTTTTCGTATTGGGTAGTATGAATGTATATTTCATAGTCCAAATATTAATTTGTTCCTTTTACTTGAGACTTTTGAAATACACTAAGAACTCTTTCTTCCTTGTTCCTAATGAAACACAAAGGAATTTTTCCTTATACTGACTCAGCGTGAGATTTTGCTACTTTTACTTACTGTGAGTGGCACCACAATCCGGGGTCCATGTGGCTACTCATGGAGTAAAGTATTACTCAATGGGAGGAAAGGTATCAGGAAGGTTGCTGAGGAAGGATTGTGCCACAAACCTCCTCTGTGACCTTGGGTGACTCACTTGGGGCTTCTCTACACTGTCCCGCAGGTCAAATTACTGTGGTATGAATAGCAGTCTGCACCAAAGTGCTGTACTGTAACTCCCCTGTGTGGAGGCTACAGACAGGAGCTAAAAGGTTCCTAGTTCACCGTAATGCAGTCCTGTTTCTAGTCCCTGTTTGCAAACCACTGTCATATATCTTTACTCATGAATTATTTTATGTTAGCAATAGTTGACATTGCACTTGTGTATGTGGCATGCTTTTCTCTGTACACCTCCTGGATGGTATTTAGTTCTACATCAATATCCTAGAAGATGAAGTGTGCTCAGAGTACCTCTGTATTAACTGTAATAGGCAAACAAATACTTAATTCTAGAAAATACACTAATTTGTGGCCCTGTCCTCTCTATGTTGCTGGCAGTGAGTCTCTTTGCAATTACCTCTTTGGAAGCAGGACTGGGTCATTTACAAAGATAAAATATAAGTCATAGGAGTAGACAAGCCAGTTTAGCACCAGCTCTATTTTACAAACTTACTTTCGACACCTTCAGTTCAGCTTTCTCCGTGATTCCGGACAGATCAGCTTCTTCAGTGAACACATCGATCACACCCATTTTCTGAAACAGCTCTTTCACATCATAAGTACCAGATACAGAGAATGCTGGAATGTATAGGTTGATTTCTCTGTTCAAAAAGAAACACAAAACTCTGGTAAAATGTTGTCAAATCGCTGGACACTTAAAGATTTGCAGTTTTATCACATATTAGAATATCGGGGTTGGAAGGGACCTCAGGAGGTCATCTAGTCCAACCCCCTGGTCAAGGCAGGACCAATCCCCAACTAAATCATCCCAGTCAGGACTTTGTCAAGCCTGACCTTAAAAATATCTAAGGAAGGAGATTCCACCACTTCCCTAGGTAACGCATTCCAGTGTTTCACCACCCTTCTAGTGAAAAAGTTTTTCCTAATATCCAACCTAAACCTCCCCCACTGCAACTTGAGCATTCTATTTGAGCATCTCAAATGTCAGTGAATTTGCTTCACAATGCCACCATCTGCAAAGTAAATATTATTGTCCCATTTTACAGGTGGAATATCAGAGGCACAAAGAAATTACAATCCCATGGGGTTTTGTTTGTTTGTTTGTTTAGCTACATATGGGCTCTCTGTGAGTTTTGGAAAACAATAGGATGGATTATTGACTCCAGTATAGAGAAAAGTAAACCATGTTATTTAATATAGGCTGGATTGTCCCTACGTCTAACATGGCTGCATGGGGGAATCCAGGAGAAGCAAGGGTTCCCGCACCTTGTGTGGCATATTAGGGGTACTTTAGGGTGACCAGACATCCTGTTTTTAAAGGGACAGTTCCCTATTTAAGCCCTCCTGCAAGTGCCCTGACTTTTTCTTAAAAACAGGCAAATTGTCCTGTATTTTCTGTCTCCCTCCCATCGGTACTGGTGAGTCCTGCTGCTGGCTAGATCCCTGCTCGCCAGCCGTCCGCCAACCAGCAGTGAGTGGGAGGGGGGTCCAGTGGCCTACGATGGGGTGGGTGTGCAAGTCTGGGGGTGGGTGTGCAAGGCTAGTGGTGGGGCAAAGCTGAAGCATGCGGGGCCAGCTGCTCCCCCTGCTGGTCCATCGGCGCAGCCCCCAGCCAACAGGGCCCCACCCCCTATCCCGTTTCCAGCCAGCACTGGCTGCGTGCTGCGAGCTGCAGTGGCTGGTGTGTGCAGGCAGGCGCCAGGCGGTGGCCGGTTATGTGTCGCCTCTGCTACCCACCCATCGCCCCTTTACGTGCTCCCCTCTCACTGTCCTCTCTCTGCTTTGCCTTGCTGCTCCTCCATATCCACCCCGGAGGAGTGCGTCCTGCTCCCAGCACTGTGTGGAGAACCAGCCCCTGGTCGGAGCCCTTAGCTCACCAACAGCCTGGCCAGCAGGCTCCTTCCTTCTCCCACTGCCTCTGGCTGGGCTGGCACCCCGGGAAAGCCCAAGACCCTCTGGCCCGGGGCACTGGTCAGAAGGAGCCAAGCTCTGCATGTGCCAAAGCCCCACACAGCGCTGGCACTGGGAAGCCTCTCTGACCCTTGGCTAAGCTCTGGAGTGGCAGGGGGCAGCGATTTCCAGCCTGTTCATGCCCCGACCCTGCAGGCTTCACAGCACCCTCTTCACCTGCCCTCCCACCCCGGGTCCTGGCCCCAGGGAGCGTGGGGCTGCTCCATCCCCTAGGCACCCTCCCTTCCTGAGCCACCTCTCTGGCTGGGTTCGCTGAAGCCCCAGCAGTCAGGTTCCCTGGGCCCTGGTGCACAATGAAGCTGTAAGGCTTAACCCCTTCCTGTCAGAGGCTGCTGGGTTATGTTGTTGGCCAGCAGAAGCCTGTAGGTGTTAGCTGCCTTTCAACACTATGCAGGCAGGAAGGGACGGGAGCTGCTTCCAGCTACAGGGAACGGCGGGGATAGTGGAAGAGATCAGCTCTACAAAGACACGGGCCAGGTCATCCCTTCCGCATCTCCTCCTGCCCTGCGGCTGGAAGCAGCTCCCGTCCTTTCCTTCCTGCACAGTGCCAAAAGGCTGCTGCTGGCCACATTTGATGTGAACCCTGGCAGAAATCTGGGGAGAGGGGACATGTGACTCTGGGTGCCCCCCCATGTGTTGCCCCAGGAAGACAGGGTTCCAGGTACCAGGAGAGGTGGGTCTGTCCCGGGGGCCCAGCCAGGCATGGATGGCAGAGAGCGCTGGGCAGGGAGGGTTGGGTCGGTCGGTTAACCCTCCTATGTGAAAGAGTTGTACCGGAGTGTGTGTGTGTCACCCTTCCTGTGTGAACCCTAAAACCTTAAAGATAAGAAAGTAAATAAAAAAGTTTCCAACGACGCAATATTTCTTTTTGATAGGGGCTCAGACAACTTGATGTTAATTTGAATGTTTGTACTGCATAGTTCTGACTGATTGCCATTGAACTCGCTTGAATACAAGTAATTTTATCAGGTGTCCCATATTCAGCATAGGGAAATATGGTCTCCCTAGGGTACCACCATCAGAGCTCCCAGGCACTGCAGTGGCTACATTGGAGATGCTTTCCCTGATTCCCCGAAGCAGTTGGACTGGAAGTGGTGGTGAAAAGGCAGTGCTCTGCCAAAATAGGTTCCAGATAAACTAGGTGGTGTAGCAAGTTACTTCCACATGCAAGATGGGTTCTCTGGGAGGCATTGTGCTGCGTGGGTGGGGGGGTGTCTGAGGCAACAAGCCTTTCAATCTCCATCTTAAGATAGTGGGCTATGCACTGCCCCTTTCTGAGGGCTGGACAATCCAACCTTTAATGTGATGTTTTGTCTTGATGAGGGATCCTACCCTATTCTACAGTAAGACATATATGCATATAGCAGCAGTTACAAGGCTACCTTTCTTGAAGTGATGTTGTCCATTTAGACACAGTTTCTTTCAACAGAGCCTCCTCCACCTGCTTCATTTTTCCTTCATCAGGCAGAATAAATAATGCAGTAGCATTTCCTTTGTATGGGATTTCAACCACCCAGCAAGACAGCTCCTCATCACGGTGAGTGCGATAATCTTTGTCACGGTTCATCATATTAACTTTAACAGATGTCTTGGCATCCACAAAAAAGTCATCTTCCCGGGTATTCAAATTACTGAAAGGATTTTCCCAATGAGCTTATGACAAATACAAAGAAAATGCCATTGAATATACTGGAAAAGAGGAATTACTAATGTGTGTCAGACTAATTTAAATGTGGCACGTTCATTTTTGAGGATTAGGTCATCTACAAACTCATTTGAGCAATGATATGTTTGAACTGTGACATGCTAGCCAGACCATTTGAAAAGCATGCAGCCTCTCCGGTGCACTGAAATGTCGTTTAACTCTTAATAGCCCTTGGCATTTCCTGACCCTGAAGCTGGTCTGACCTTTGCAGGGCATCTAAAGGCAAAGTGTCTGCTCCCCCTAACAGTATTGACACATGCCAGAAGTTTGGCCTCTGTGCTTCTCAGCCTCTGAGAGGCGTGGGTGGGCCTGGTCCACATGCATGGGTTCTGTGTTGAAGGTGCACATTTCAGAGGTCAGAGGCCAGGGCATCATCAGGGCTCAAGGGGCAGCAAATAAATAAATGGATATTGAAATCAGATGTCAAGAATTATAACATTCATAAACCAGTCGGAGAACACTTCAATCTCTCTGGTCACGCAATCACCGACATGAAGGTCGCTATCTTACAACAAAAAAACTTCAAATCCAGACTCCAGCGAGAAACTGCTGAATTGGAATTCATTTGCAAATTGGATACTATTAATTTAGGCTTAAATAGAGACTGGGAGTGGCTAAGTCATTACGCAAGGTAGCCTATTTCCCCTTGTTTTTTTCCTAACCCCCCCCCCCCCCCCCCCGGAACGTTCTGGTTAAACTTGGATTTAAACTTGGAGAGTGGTCAGTTTGGATGAGCTATTGCCAGCAGGAGAGTGAGTTTGTGTGTGTATGGGGGTGGGGGGGTGAGAAAACCTGGATTTGTGCTGGAAATGGCCCACCTTGATTATCATGCACATTGTAGGGAGAGTGGTCACTTTGGATGGGCTATTACCAGCAGGAGAGTGAGTTTGTGTGTGTGTTTTTTGGAGGGGGGTGAGGGAGTGAAAGAACCTGGATTTGTGCAGGAAATGGCCCACCTTGATTATCATGCACATTGTGTAGAGAGTTGTCACTTTGGATGGGCTATTACCAGCAGGAGAGTGAGTTTGTGTGTGGGGGGGTGGAGAGTGAGAAAACCTGGATTTGTGCTGGAAATGGCCCAACTTGATGATCACTTTAGATAAGCTATTACCAGCAGGACAGTGGGGTGGGAGGAGATATTGTTTTATGATCTCTGTGTGTATATAAAGTCTGCTGCAGTTTCCACGGTATGCATCCGATGAAGTGAGCTGTAGCTCACGAAAGCTCATGCTCAAATAAATTGGTTAGTCTCTAAGGTGCCACAAGTACTCCTTTTCTCTTTAAATCTGTATCTTTAAAGAAAGTAAAGTAACCAAGTTCTTGCAGTTTGTTTGTGCTGTTTAACTAAAACCCCTGTTTCTGTTTAAGTTCCAGAGCAGATTGTTGCTTCTTGACAATTTATGCTAAATTAATAAATCCAGTATTTTCCTCACGCAACTTAAGTTTCTCCTGCTCAATATCTGCAGCGTAAGGCTCGCTACATGTGTCAGTCAGCCTACTCCTCTGCATTATAGGCTTGATCCAGCTTCCATTGAAGGAAATTGTAAATCTCCCATTGACTTCTATGGTTCTGGAATAAAGCCTATTTCCTTCTGTGTAAGCTACTTCATCAGTGTCCCACAGGACAACTTCCTGCTCAGTTCATCAGCTTAATATTGATTCAAGATAATTTCCAGGTCTGAAATAGACCCTTTCAGAGTTCCTGGATACCATTTATAGAGCATTCAGTTGGAAGACTTGAATGAGTATCTGGCAACTAAATGTGCAAAGCAGATCAGCCATTATCCATTAACTGAGTGTCTCAGGTACTGCAAAATGTCAGAGAAAAGAGTCTGTACTCCAAAGACTATGCACAGAATTGGGGAATACGCTGTCCTTCTTTAACTTCATATTTAGATGGTAAAATTAAAGTGACCTGCATTAGAGAGGTAGTGAGCACTCACAGCTCCTAGTGACTATGTAGAAATAAGCAAGTGCTCAGTTTGCCTGCTAACGAGGCCACTTTTATTCAAGTGACTAAATATGGTGCCTAACTTTAACTACACAGATTGGACATTTTGGCTATAAACTTTCATGGAAAGGTTTAACATAGTTAAAAAGGGACCAGTATCAACCTGGGTGATCTCATAGAGCTAACAACCTTGACAGTGCCCCTTAATTTAAAAAAAGCAGGTTTTTTGTCTTGGATCCCAGTCAGCATTCCATAGCCTGTATGTGCGTCATGAACCCATCTGTAGAACATCTTACCTTTAAAGAAAATATAGTTGACAAGAACCATTACAGTGAGTGGATCAAGACCCTTGACCAAGTTGGCAATTTTCCCATGGGTTTTCTTCTCGATGCAATCATTGATCTGTTTCTCAGCCTCGGCAGAATTCTGGAAGTTACTAGGAAAAGTTTCAGACTCATACAGACTTTTGACGTCAGCCAAAAACTTCTCTAGTAGTTTCAGTCGATCATCTACAAAAAGGGCATTTCCCATATTCAGCTGGATCTCACTGTCAGAATGGTTTAACATGCGGATGAGATGATGAAAACCTTCATGTATCTCCCTCTCCTTAATCTCTGTCAGATTAAAGGAGAGTCCTTTGTGAATTTGACTCAAAGTGGCTGACTTGGCACCTAACGTCAGCATTGCAAAGGCAGTGGAGATGCTCAGAGGAGAGAAGAAAATGTTCTTGTCAGCTGCTTCTGATTTAATCTGCTTGTAGAATCTAAATGCAAAGTCAGTATTGCTAGCAACAACTTTCATAAAGGTCATGTGTTCAGTTACGACTTTGCCTCCAACTGGGCTAAGCTGCGGTGGGGGATTATTATCTGTTTGACCATCCTGGTCATTGTGGTGGTCAGGTACATGATGAGATAAGACAACAGCATGAAGCCCAGCAAGTAACACACACAGACAGAGGATGGATTTCATTTTCCTTTGGAACTATTCCCTTGAAAAACAAAAGAATGGAATAGTCATTAGTCATCGAAATGTTCCCTCCTTCACTGTGCTACTTGTGATCCATTGGTTATTTTTCTCTCTCCTGTCATGGCAACTGGGAGATTCTGAGGGGAAAGGGAGTGGGGCTGACCAGAGAGTCACAGGGCTTGGGAGCCCAGGCCAGGTTGGGAATCAGAGAAAGGAAAAAGGGAAGGGTGGTAGAAGAAGACTCTGGGCTGGATTCTTCACTTAGCACCATCCTCTTTGTGCCACTCAGACATCCCCCACCCTAGAGTAGAGGTGTTTTGTTGATGGGGGAAGTTATGAAAGAGGGTGGGATGAGAGGAGGCTGTGAGAGATTTTAGCAGAATGGAGATCCACTATGATATTCCTCTGCTGCTGTAAGATGAATTAGGGACCTTATGCCTGTGGCGCAAATTGGTGCTGCACTTTTGCAGGTGTAACTTCTGCTAGGGCTTGACAGCAGCAATCAGGGAACTGGAACCGGTTCCTTGATAGTCCCCCCCTACTCCACCACACACGCACACACTTCAATGTGTTGCAGTAGAATCTGGATCCAAATGACAATATGGCCTGCTATCTAAAGCTTGAAAAAGTTTATAGGGAAGGACCCTGTCTGGAACATCAAAACTAAGTCACCCACCCCTGACTTTGAGTACTGTAATTTGGTGAGCTTTACCAAAAGGGGATATCAAATGGTCCCGAGCTTTCTGTAGCATCATAATAACAGGAATACATCAGCTCTACAGGTTCTTCACATGTCAAAAATGTATAGATTTGCCCTTTTTTGTTTTTTATGCTGTCCCCTCTTTTTTCTCTCTCTATCTGTCCTGAGGAAACGGGTTTCCCATTAGGCTTCAATTCAGCCAGAGAGTATGTACTAAAGACCAACTTGCTTCGTTAATGCGAGAGTTTTAAACCATGTTAAAATGTGTTTGCTAGAGCTGGTTGAAATTTTTGAATGGAATGTTTTTCCACTACAAAATGCTGATTCATCAAAATAGAAGGGTTTCAGAGGAACAGCCGTGTTAGTCTGTATTCGCAAAAAGAAAAGGAGTACTTGTGGCACCTTAGAGACTAACCAATTTATTTGAGCATGAGCTTTCGTGAGCCACAGCTCACTTCATCAGATGTGTACCGTGGAAACTGCAGCAGACTTTATATACACACAGAGAATATGAAACAATACCTCCTCCCACCCCACTGTCCTGCTGGTAATAGCTTATCTAAAGTGATCAACAGGTGGGCCATTTCCAGCACAAATCCAGGTTTTCTCACCCTCCACCCCCCCACACAAATTCACTCTCCTGCTGGTGCTAGCCCATCCAAAGTGACAACTCTTTACATAATCAAGTCGGGCTATTTCCTGCATAGATCCAGGTTTTCTCACTTCCCCCCCACCCCCATACACACACAAACTCACTCTCCTGCTGGTAATAGCTCATCTAAACTGACCACTCTCCAAGTTTAAATCCAAGTTAAACCAGAATATCTGGCGGGGGGGGGGGGGTAGGAAAAAACAAGAGGAAACAGGCTACCTTGCATAATGACTTAGCCACTCCCAGTCTCTATTTAAGCCTAAATTAATAGTATCCAATTTGCAAATGAATTCCAATTCAGCAGTTTCTCGCTGGAGTCTGGATTTGAAGTTTTTTTGTTTTAAGATAGCGACCTTCATGTCTGTGATTGCGTGACCAGAGAGATTGAAGTGTTCTCCGACTGGTTTATGAATGTTATAATTCTTGACATCTGATTTGTGTCCATTTATTCTTTTACGTAGAGACTGTCCAGTTTGACCAATGTACATGGCAGAGGGGCATTGCTGGCACATGATGGCATATATCACATTGGTGGATGTGCAGGTGAACGAGCCTCTGATAGTGTGGCTGATGTTATTAGGCCCTGTGATGGTGTCCCCTGAATAGATATGTGGGCACAATTGGCAACGGGCTTTGTTGCAAGGATAAGTTCCTGGGTTAGTGGTTCTGTTGTGTGGTATGTGGTTGTTGGTGAGTATTTGCTTCAGGTTGCGGGGCTGTCTGTAGGCAAGGACTGGCCTGTCTCCCAAGACTTGTGAGAGTGTTGGGTCATCCTTTAGGATAGGTTGTAGATCCTTAATAATGCGTTGGAGGGGTTTTAGTTGGGGGCTGAAGGTGACCGCTAGTGGCGTTCTGTTATTTTCTTTGTTAGGCCTGTCCTGTAGTAGGTAATTTCTGGGAACTCTTCTGGCTCTATCAATCTGTTTCTTTACTTCTGCAGGTGGGTATTGTAGTTGTAAGAAAGCTTGACAGAGATCTTGTAGGTGTTTGTCTCTGTCTGAGGGGTTGGAGCAAATGCGGTTGTATCGCAGAGCTTGGCTGTAGACGATGGATCGTGTGGTGTGGTCAGGGTGAAAGCTGGAGGCATGCAGGTAGGAATAGCGGTCAGTAGGTTTCCGGTATAGGGTGGTGTTTATGTGGCCATTGTTTATTAGCACTGTAGTGTCCAGGAAGTGGATCTCTTGTGTGGATTGGACCAGGCTGAGGTTGGTGGTGGGATGGAAATTGTTGAAATCATGGTGGAATTCCTCAAGGGCTTCTTTTCCATGGGTCCAGATGATGAAGATGTCATCAATATAGCGCAAGTAGAGTAGGGGCTTTAGGGGACGAGAGCTGAGGAAGCGTTGTTCTAAATCAGCCATAAAAATGTTGGCATACTGTGGGGCCATGCGGGTACCCATAGCAGTGCCGCTGATCTGAAGGTATACATTGTCCCCAAATGTGAAATAGTTATGGGTAAGGACAAAGTCACAAAGTTCAGCCACCAGGTTAGCCGTGACATTATCGGGGATAGTGTTCCTGACGGCCTGTAGTCCATCTTTGTGTGGAATGTTGGTGTAGAGGGCTTCTACATCCATAGTAGCCAGGATGGTGTTATCAGGAAGATTACCGATGGATTGAAGTTTCCTCAGGAAGTCAGTGGTGTCTCGAAGGTAGCTGGGAGTGCTGGTAGCGTAGGGCCTGAGGAGGGAGTCTACATAGCCAGACAATCCTGCTGTCAGGGTGCCAATGCCTGAGATGATGGGGCGCCCAGGATTTCCAGGTTTATGGATCTTGGGTAGTAGATAGAATATCCCAGGTCGGGGTTCCAGGGGTGTGTCTGTGCGGATTTGATCTTGTGCTTTTTCAGGAAGTTTCTTGAGCAAATGCTGTAGTTGCTTTTGGTAACTCTCAGTGGGATCATAGGGTAATGGCTTGTAGAAACTCGTGTTGGAGAGCTGCCGAGCAGCCTCTTGTTCATATTCCGACCTATTCATGATGACAACAGCACCTCCTTTGTCAGCCTTTTTGATTATGATGTCAGAGTTGTTTCTGAGGCTGTGGATGGCATTGCGTTCCGCATGGCTGAGGTTATGGGGCAAGTGATGCTGCTTTTCCACAATTTCAGCCCGTGCACGTCGGCGGAAGCACTCTATGTAGAAGTCCAGTCTGCTGTTTCGACCTTCAGGAGGAGTCCATCTAGAATCCCTCTTTCTGTAGTGTTGGCAGGGAGACCTCTGTGGATTAGTATGTTGTTCAGAGGTATTTTGGAAATATTCCTTGAGACGGAGACGTCGAAAATAGGATTCTAGGTCACCACAGAACTGTATCATGTTCGTGGGGGTGGAGGGGCAGAAGGAGAGGCCCCGAGATAGAACAGCTGCTTCTGCTGGGCTGAGAGTATAGTTGGAGAGGTTAACAATATTGCTAGGTGGGGTGAGGGAACCATTGCTGTGGCCCCTTGTAGCATGTAGTAGTTCAGAAAGTTTAGTGTCCTTTTTCTTTTGTAGAGAAGCAAAGTGTGCATTGTAAATGGCTTGTCTAGTTTTAGTAAAATCCAGCCACGAGGAAGTTTGTGTGGAAGGTTGGTTCTTTATGAGAGTATCCATTTTTGAGAGCTCATTCTTAATCTTTCCCTGTTTGCTGTAGAGGATCTTGATCAGGTGATTCCGCAGTTTCTTTGAGAGCGTGAGGCACAAGCATGCACACTTTGCTTCTCTTTACAGGCCGTCAGGAACACTATCCCCGATAATGTCACGGCTAACCTGGTGGCTGAACTTTGTGACTTTGTCCTTACCCATAACTATTTCACATTTGGGGACAATGTATACCTTCAGATCAGCGGCACTGCTATGGGTACCCGCATGGCCCCACAGTATGCCAACATTTTTATGGCTGATTTAGAACAACGCTTCCTCAGCTCTCGTCCCCTAAAGCCCCTACTCTACTTGCGCTATATTGATGACATCTTCATCATCTGGACCCATGGAAAAGAAGCCCTTGAGGAATTCCACCATGATTTCAACAATTTCCATCCCACCACCAACCTCAGCCTGGTCCAGTCCACACAAGAGATCCACTTCCTGGACACTACAGTGCTAATAAACAATGGCCACATAAACACCACCCTATACCGGAAACCTACTGACCGCTATTCCTACCTGCATGCCTCCAGCTTTCACCCTGACCACACCACACGATCCATCGTCTACAGCTAAGCTCTGCGATACAACCGCATTTGCTCCAACCCCTCAGACAGAGACAAACACCTACAAGATCTCTGTCAAGCTTTCTTACAACTACAATACCCACCTGCAGAAGTAAAGAAACAGATTGATAGAGCCAGAAGAGTTCCCAGAAATTACCTACTACAGGACAGGCCTAACAAAGAAAATAACAGAACGCCACTAGCGGTCACCTTCAGCCCCCAACTAAAACCCCTCCAACGCATTATTAAGGATCTACAACCTATCCTAAAGGATGACCCAACACTCTCACAAGTCTTGGGAGACAGGCCAGTCCTTGCCTACAGACAGCCCCGCAACCTGAAGCAAATACTCACCAACAACCACATACCACACAACAGAACCACTAACCCAGGAACTTATCCTTGCAACAAAGCCCGTTGCCAATTGTGCCCACATATCTATTCAGGGGACACCATCACAGGGCCTAATAACATCAG